AGATAAATGAAGGAAAGTACTCAATCAATTATGGTAGTAGATATTTTAAGCTGTAGGGCAAGTAGTAGAGAAGGATGTATTAGTGTGATTTGTGTTTGTCCTTTTTGTATGTGCTTTTTTATGTTGTCTGTATGTGTTGTTAAATGTTTTTTCTTATATAATGAAAATCAATAAAGTTTATTTAAAAAAAAAGAAAAGGTAAGCCCCACCACTGTTGTATCATCTGCAAATTTGGTAATGATATTGCTATGATGTATGTGGGTGGAATAATATGTGTACAAAGTATAAAGTAGAGGACTCAACACACAGCTCTGTGACGTCCTAGTGTTGAGAGTGAAAGCTGAAGAGGCATGGTTACCTAATCTAACCCTCTGGGAATGTCCAGACAAGAAGCCCATAATTCAGAAACAGATAGAACAGTGGTCGGGAACCTTTGGCTCTCCAGGTGTGGTGGTCTTCAACTCCCACAATGCCTTGAGGCTCGGCCTCTTTTTCATGGAGGACGGGCAGCAAAGGCTGGCCTCGGAGGGAGAGAGCGGGCGGAAACCCCTGCGGGCAACGCGCCTCCTCGCCGCTTCGGCCCCGGCCGCTAGTGCCGAGCCTCAAGGCATTGTGGGAGTTGAAGTCCACCACACCTGGAGAGCCAAAGGTTCCCGACCGCTGAGATAGAATATGACAATCCAAGATCCCATAAGTTTAACAGTCTATGTGAGAGGATTTTGTTAAATGTGGAACTAAAGTCTGCAAAAAGCATCCTCACATAGTTCCCCGTCATTCCAGGTGGGGCATGATGGCTATGTTGTCCTCTGTCAATCTGTTAGCTCTATATGCAAATGGATGTTTATCAGATGCAGACCAGTTTTCAAGGCACACTATGACGATGGAAGTGAGTGCCACTGGTCTGTAGTACTGAAAATTATTAATAGGGGACTTTTTTGGTAAAGGAACAATGATGGAGGCCTTCAAAACAAGATGGAATAGTAGACTAAGATAAAGACTGATTGAAAATCACAAAATCACAAGAACTCTTGTTTACTCCTCCTATTTCAAGGAAAGAACAATGCCATCTAGAGGACAGGAAATGAAATGCATGTTAAAGAAGAAGTCTAAACATGTAAATACTGTATTACTGTAGACTGGACTGGAATCATCTACTAAAATTTTCTAAAGCATACTAAATACTGAAAGTGGTACACTAACTGCAACTGTCTGATCTTAGAAGGTAAGCAGAGTCTGCCCTAGTAAGAACAGGAATAGGAAATTGTCAAGAAATACCTGGTGCTGTAAGGTAGATTTCCCCTCAATGAGTTGCTCTTTTCTACCACTTTCAGAGTTGAACACCACAAATGGGGAATAATGTAAATGTTAAACATATAAAATTAATTGCCTGATCCACACTGCTGACTAGAAATGCTATGCCTCTGCCTCCCTATACTTTTGTGGTCTGTAAATATTCAGCACTTTAAGCCAGTATGACTCAAGCAAAAATTGAACCAGATAGGAAGAATATTCCTAAACAATACAAAAAAGCAATTGATTCAAGTAGGCAGAAGAATATGTATAGCTTTCCCCATTGGTGTCCAAAAATCACTGAGAATTAGAAAATTAGTCTTCCAGCTGAGAATTAAGATGGTAGGCCTTCCAGATGCATTACAGATCAGCTGCCACACTGTTGGGTACCCACAACTAGAGAAGATGCATTAAATAAATAGTAAAACAGTGAGTAATAATAGTAGAACAGTTTAGCCAATGAATCATCAGCAAGGATTTACACATGTGATAAATTTAATCACATCTATCCTAAAGAACAACCATGGGAGTGCCATCTTAATATGAATCCACATTGCCCTATATTCCAGGATCAGATCCCAGATTATCTGCTTTGAACTGGATTATATGAATCTACACTGCCAGATAATATGGGACAAACAGATAATCTGGGATCAGATCCTGGGATATAAGGCAGTGTAGATCCAGCCTTAGAAATGACTTCATACGTACAACCTAAGAACATTTTCTTAATCAAATACTTTGTAAGTAGAACCTTTAAAGCAGCAAAACTGAACTTTACAAAATTCACCTGACTGCAATAAGTAATATTTTTTTCAACAATATTACATTTGATATACGCAAAGTCTCTGCAACAAATCAGCTCTCCTCAAGAGTATCCATGGCATTTACTTAAATAGAAGGAAAATACCACTTCCTGGGCAGACAATTCCTATAAGAACTTGCATGCTAGCTGGCAGATAATGGAATCGGCTCAGCTGTCCAAATACTATGTTCTCCTTGGCGACACCTGGATCGGATATATACTGATCATATTGTTTGGGTTAGCACCCTTTGTTGTTGTTCCACTTGCATTTTACAGAACATTTTAATATCTTTTCGCCATGTAAATATTTAATTAAATTCTTTGTTTAAAAAGAAATTGATGGTTGTGGAAATCGGGGAGTAAATATTATTTAACTGGACTGCTACACTGCTGAAGAGTTCAATTAAATACGCTGACATTTACACATATTTGGTTCAATCACACTGAAGACTTTAAAATTAAATATCAGAATCTAACTTAATGTTTTATCTAAGTCATAGCCCAATAGAGCATGAAGACATGCAAATAATAAGGTAACTGAATGTGCAAAAGTCTCAGAGGAAATATATTGAGCTTACCTTCTCCTAAGAAATTAATCTTTATTATTTCGAAAATATTAAAGGATCGTTTTTGAAAATGTGTGAATTCTAGTGCCTGGCATGCCATAATCATGAAGGGATGGTATCCAAAGACAAAATCAAATTCGGATTTGGTACAAAAATTAATAACAAAAGATGCAGCCACTGCACAAGAAGGGATTCACATAGCAAAAGATTTAATACATAGTTGAATGCAAAATGTCTGCACATATAGGGATATATATGCAGGAATATAAAAAGCAAAAGACTGAGTGAATTCCTGTCCATAATGATATCTAGTGCATGACTAAGTGTAAACAACTGTAAAAATTGTTAACTAAATTTTAAGTGAAACACAATATCATCTATCCACTGGCTTTGCATTAAGACTATCTTCTGCAATAATAATAAACTTTATTTGTATCCTGCCCCATCTCCCCAGAGGGACTTGAGACTGCATGCAAGGCAACAACAGTGCAAATCAAGAACATAAAATATTCTGTACAACACGGGGAAAATTTTGCTATTAATAAAAAGCTGGCAGCACTAAAATGTTTAGACAATCAGACTTTCAGGTAAGACCCACAACTACGACAGATGCCAGTGCTTGTTTTATCACACTCCATGGATCTTGGAAAGGGGCTCCTATCTCAATTTTCTGATATACAAAATAGGGTAGCCGAATATTCAACACTGGCAGTAAAAACACAAAAATGTAGTAATATAAATTGATCTTTATTACTTAGACCGTTTCTGGATGGCTCATGAAACTAAGAGCTAATCAAAATCCCTAAGTGCTTATTGATCTTAGTATGTATTCGCATTTAGAATTCCTTGTCCTCAGATGCAAGCAGACATTCTGATATAATCTTTTTACCCAGAAAGAACTGTTCCTTTCCTCAAGCAAGCAGAAATTTAAAGGGTTATTTTAATACCATCATCTGCCTTCAACAGATGGTCTAGCTGTGATATTCTTCTCTTCTGCTGAGCAATTATCACTGCATAAGTAGTGATAATTTAAATAGCATACAGTATGAAAAAAGAACATGCATCTGAAACTAAGTCCGGAAACAACATTGAAAGTGTATAGGTTCTGAACAGATAGTGGTTTCAAATTGTAAAATGTTGCTCAGAAAATCTGAATCCATATATTGTCTAAATATGTGGAATTCATGTTCTTGGATGGCAACTCTCATCAGCCTAGTCAATGGTAAAAGAGTATGAGGTTATATAAAGCTCATACTCTGCCCACTATTTATCTAAATCAGGCATGGGCAAACTTTGGCCCTAGAGGTGTTTTGGACTTCCAACTCCCAGAAATCGCAGCCAGCTTACCGGTTATTAGGAATTGTGGGAGTTGAAGTCCAAAATACCCGGAGAGCCAAAGTTTGCCCATGCCTGATCTAAATCATTGGGGTGGGGGGGGGGGGGGAAACCACATAATTTTGTTTCAGAATATATTTTCCCTGAAACAGCATAAGCCATATAGGGTTGGAAAGAGATGGTCATACTGACAGTAGATAAGAAACTGTGAAAGTCAACAATGATTAAATAAGTTATGTGTAACTAGTCTTCTTAATCACAGTGGGTTTAATCTATCCTGAATAAATCTGGGCCAAATCTCTGTGATTCTCACTCAAAGCTTAATTTTACATACATCCAAAATTCTTTAAGATGACCCACTATTCAATGGTATGGCACATAATTTGGAGGTGTAAGAACCCTCGCCAAACCCTGATATAAGCTGGAGATAAGTCATTGCTATTGAGACCTGTCAAAAGTGACTAAAATGAACCAATACTCCAGGTTTGTATAAGGTTATGCTCCTTCCAAAGTTGCTTTACTTGCAAACTACGGTAGAAGTCATACCTTGAAGTATATTTTCATAGCACATGCTTAGACTGACGATGTCTCTGTTCAAAAACCTCCCTAAAAAAGCCAAATATGGTTATAGCAGTATTCAAGTTAGTTTGGGACTATGGCACAGGGCACATTCATTATTTCTCTCTCCTGCACTTTTTCCCTTAGGAATGTTCCAGCAAGAGCTGCTATTGGCATGAGTTCACCTTTTAAAAACAGGGCAAGAATCAACTGGAAAGGGAACTTTCAATGAGAAAACAGAAAATAGGAAAAGACTGACCTCTCCTCTGGATCCACAATCTTGATCTAGACAAGTTATCTTACATCTTTTGTAAACAAATGTGGACAATCATAGACCATTTTTAAACATCCATTTAAAACTGCATATAGTTTGACCTCAATTTTTAAGAACAACTTTATTACAGAAGATATATATGAATGAAATGTGACTAGGAAATATTGTTTACCTGTTAGGATGACACTTGCAACATCTGCGACAGCAATAACAGCAGCAGCACAGCATAAAAATCAGAAGAAGGCCTGCTACCACACCTATGGTAATGACTATGGCCTCAAAGTTGACTGTACAAATTAAAGGAATAATTTGAGTATGTGCAGTGCTATAAAACATTGACAAAGTAACAAAATACAACAACAATATGTACAGCTGAAAGGGAAAAAGTTTGGGTCCATTAGCTGTCCTCTTTGCATCAGGCATTAAAGACATTTAAGTAGGTTTGCTGGAATTTATTTTATTGCAGACAGATATGTTCATCCAGTTAAGAGAGTCCATCTAACTGAATATAGTAAATATGCATTTGTCAGTGCCTCCTATTTCATATTTATTAGAATGGCGCTTAGCATGCTTCCTTGTATTTTTCACTTCAAAAAAATCACAAATAATCTCATGAGTGTTTTAATTGAAGTATTTTAAATGTTATGCTTCTTTGACAAAGAATTACACCAGACAATTAGTAAGATATTGTAAAGGGCAAATTCAGTCTGAAACAGCAGACTGAAATCTCTACAAGGCAGCATTTCGAGATACTGTATTTTACTGAAAATTATGAACTTTCTGTATTCAGAAAATATGTAAAGTATCTGCCAAATAGTTTAGGATCACTATATTAAATGAAGTTTTGCTTGATATATTGCTGTGTACTAAAAGTATGTTGTTGTTACTGTTATTTATATACCACCTTTCTCCTGATAATGGGAATCAAGGTGACAAACAACATATTTAAAAACAGTACAAATTACAAAAAGGCAGAATAACACCACTGTATAAAGATTGAAAGCAATTAAATAATTCATGAATTAATAATTAAAATAATATGTACAATACTATAAACAAAATACTATTTTCACGCATTCTTCGCAAGTACCTACCTAAGCATATTCCCCAATAAGACTTTCTAAGTTCACACAATGAAGATGGTGGAATAAGTTTGCTTACAGGGTAGTCCATACAAGTTGCGTTTTCACTGCACCAAAGACACTAAACAGAACAAGTGAGAAGTAAACACAGGCATTCTAAGCCATCAAACCTGTTCTTTTTGAGGCATTATTTTCAAGTCTTCACCGAAGCATAAATTCAGGCGCTAAACATTGTTTTGTTATTCATTTGTGTGCCCTGAGCATAGTAAAAATTTGAAGTACACATTAATTTCCCCAATTTTAGCAAACAATTACAGTTGGCATTTAGCACATCTACATACAGAACTTTCAACCCAGTCAGAATTTCAGACTATGCTGGTCAATGCTGGAAAATGTTAGCACTGTTTGCCACATTAAACATATTCTACACACAGTAGGAGTTTGTCATGTTATTATCTTAAGAACGGCTTATTTTTAATGCCTAGTAACATGACTGTTTTGCCTAGGAAAATTACTGGCTATTTTGATATTCTTCAGTTTAATACTAGAGTTTTTAAACTAAATGACAATCCCAAATCTAAGCTACTTCCTATTCTTCACCATGTTTTCTGCAATTAACATATGATATATTTTTACCAGGGTGGTGTGTGTGTGTGTGTGTCTGTCAAGAGTGACCTGAGAAACTGCAAGTTGCTTCTGGTGTGAGAGAATTGGCCATCTGCAAGGATAATGCTCAGGGGACGCCCAGATGTTTTAACATCCTATGGGAGGCTTCTCTCATGTCCCCACATGAGAAGCTGGAGCTGACAACAGGAGCTCACTCCACTCCTTGGATTCAACCGCCAACCTTTCGGTCAGCAGTCCTGCTGGCATAAGGGTTTAACTCATTGCGCCACCGGGTTAACTGGAAAGATTTACCAATTAATCTTTCAGTAATTCTGTATCACTGTATGGTATGCACAGAGGTTTACAAATGTATCTTTTCACACTATAGTTTGTGCCTGTATATTGTTATGAATTTGTCAAAAATTTTATTTTGAAGAAAAGAATGCTGAGCTTGCAGAAGGTTGTCTGTGTCATCCATCACCCTGTCACTGTGTCCCCACAAGGTTCCGTCAAGCATATGATTGATATTAGTATAAAAGTTTATGCTGATTTAATAAACTTTAGCATAACAAATAATTTTAATCTACGTAACTTGACAGGTAACTTGAATGGTGATGTAAATGTGCTCATGTGACACAACAGAAAAAGAGACAGTTTGTCCTGAAAGTATTGCAGAATCTTGTTCTTTCCCCTTTTAGCCAACTCTTTTATAAGTAAAGTATCACCCTACCTTTTCCACATTCTTTTCTAAATACTTCCTGGCTGTACCAGGCTTCTGCCTCACTATTGTTCCTCTCTCTTAGATCTCATCAGATGTTTAACTCTTGCTGAATCTAAAGCTATGAAAGAAGTCACCAAAGAATCTTTACTCAAATGATTTCTATCAAAAAGCAGATACAGGTTTAGACGCTGGCCTAACATAATAAGATTATTCTTTTAGGGAAAATTCAGCTATTCAGAAGAAAGAGATACTATTTTATCAATAGGGAAAAAAAAAACTCAGGTCCTACCAAACTGAACTAGCATGGGTTCCTGTGAGTTTTTCAGGCTGTAAAGACATGTTCCAAAAGCATTCTTTCCTGACATTTTGCCCACATCTATGACAGGCAATCCCAGAGGTTGTGAGGTCTGTTAGAAACTAGCAAGTGAGGTTTATATATCTGTGGAATGTCCAGATTGGGAGAAAGAACTGTCTGTTTGAGGCAGGTTTGAATGTTGCAATTGACCACCTTGATTAGCATTAAATGGCCTTATAGCTTCAAAGCCCGGCTGATTCCTTTATTGGGAGGCATCAGCTGGCCCTGATTGTTTCCTATTTATTTATTTAGTATATTTATATACTGCCTTTCTCACCCCTGGAGGGACTAAAGGCAGTTTACAACACATTAATGGCAGTAATTCAGTGCCAACATACATATAATAAAATAAAATCACAATAACTAAACACTGGCATCTAACTATAAATTAAAATAATTAAAACCATTCAACATAGGCATATGCAACATGCAAACACTAAGACAAAGCATTAAAAACATCCTAATATAAATGGCATGATTTTAATAATGGTTTTAATATTGCTGTTGATTTTTTGTTTTTGAAGGATATGTTTATTTTTATTGCATGTACATATGTGTATGGCATCAAATTGCTGCCTTTTCGTAAGACTGCTCTGAGTTCCCCTTTTGGGGTGAGAAGGGTGGGATAAAAATGTAATAAATAAATAAAAAAACAAATAATTAAATAAAATCTAGCTTTTACTTGCCAACAATTATTATTGTTGTTGTCATTTCATCTCTTCAAGCCCCTGGTGGTGCAGTGGGTTAAACCCTCATGCCGCAGGACTGCTGACTGATAGGTCAGAGGTTCGAATCCGGGGAGAGCAGGTTGAGCTCCCTCTGTCAGCTCCAGCTCCCCAGGTGAGGACATGAGAGAAACCTACCACAAGGATGATAAAACATCAAACATCCAGGCGCCCCCTGGGCAATGTCCTTGCAGATGGCCAATTCTCTCATACCAGAAGCGACTTGCAATTTCTCAAGTCGTTCCTGACACACACACCCAAAATTATCTTCTTCAAGTAATTTCCCACCGAAAGCGACCTTAAAGCGAAACTATCTCAGGGACTTCTTGCCAAGATTTGCTTTGTGGGGTGTGTCACTGCCTATCTTTGAGGCTAAATGTGAGCCTTCCCCAAGGTCACCCAATGGGTTTCTATAGCCAAGCGGGGATTCGAACCTCTGTCTCAAAAGTCCTAGCCCAGTGGTTCTCAACCTGGGGTCCTCAGATGTTTTTGGCTTACAACTCCCAGAAATCCTAACAACTGGTAAACTAGCTGGGATTTCTGGGAGTTGTAGGCCAAAAACATCTGGGGACCCACAGGTTGAGAACCACTGTCTAGCCCAAGACACAAACCATGACACTATGCTGGCTTCTGTCAATATACAAATCAGATTGGGGAGAACATTTAGCTCAAAATAAAGCATTATTTCAGTTCTATTTATATACCGCCTTTCCCAGCCCAGAAGCAACTCAGGGCTGTTCACAACTGGCAACAATTTGATGCCTCAACAATTATAACAATTAAAACAATCATAAAATAATGTTGAAAACATTTAGCATAAAATATAAGAATATTTTTTTAAAAAACCGTATAAAGCCTTAATAGCAATACTAGAAAGTTTTCTCTAACAAACGATAAAAATGTAAAACTCACTTTAGTGTTTTTCACGCATTCTTCGCAAGTCTTTTTGACAAAAGCATTACATGCTGGGGGGAAAAAAAATAAGGCCTTGTATGAAAAACAAAAGTATTACAACAACATTTTAATTTTTAAACCAGTTTGCTGAAAATTGCAGAAACAAACTAGAAGTTCTTCAGGATTGGTTCTAAGCAATGTTGGAACACTTTAGAAGAGGCATGGGGCAAACTTGGGCCCTCCAGGTGTTTTGGACTCCAACTCCCACCATTTCTAACAGCCTCAGGCCCTTCCTTTTCCCCCTCCAAACTGGCTGAGGGGAAAAGGAAAGGGCCTGAGGCTGTTAGGAATGGTGGGAGTTGGAGTCCAAAACACCTGGAGGGAAGGCCCGAGTTTCCCCGCCTTCGAGGCCTAGCCTGAGGGAGAAGCCTGGCTCTTTCCACGGCTTACACAAAACGGGAGCCGGCGACGGTGAGGCACTGGTCTCCATCCCTATTACCGAGCTGCTCCAGAGGAAGAAGGAGAAGGGCAGGAAGAGGGCCCACAGCCGCTGCCATCGCAGCCATCCCGAGGCCACTGCCCCGCCCTCCATCTTTTCTTCTCCCTCCACTCGTCGCCTTACTCTCTTCCCCTCAGAACTCAAAGCGCCATTAGAGTCCTCCTTGGCGCATGCGCACTCTCCTCGCTCAGAGTCAGGTGCAATTTCAGCGCCGGCTCTTCCTCTTTGGCGCATGCGCACTCCCACTACACTCCGGAGGACCCGCACCGTCTTTAGGGGCAAATTCAGTTTCCTCTTTGGCGCATGCGTACACTGTCTCCACACACTCGACTCCCAAGTCGGGCAATTTTAGCTCCTGCACCTCCTAGGCGCATGCGCACTGCCTCCCCACTGCGAATTCTTTGCACGGCTCCCTTTTACAGAAGAGCCCCGCCCCTTTCGGTCCGTCGACGCACCTCTTCCCTCGGAAACAAGAACCTCTTTACATTCCGCCCGGTTGAGATACGTCGTGGTAAAATAATAATAATAATA